GAAGTGCTAGGATTGATTTATTTTGATTTGTGTGGTCCTATGTCGATCCAGGTTAAAGGTAGTTTCAAGTAGTTTGTCTCTTTCATTGTTGGTTACTCGAAGTTTGAGTACATTTACCTGTTGCATCGCAAGTCTGAATGCTTGGAGAAATTCAAAGGAGTATCGGGAAGTTGTGGAGAACATTCATGGTAAAAGTATCAAGTCACTTCGTTCTGATCGAGGTGGTGAATACCTTTTTGAAGAGTTCAGGACATACTTATCGGAAGTTGGAATTGAATCCCAACGTACTGCACCCGGCACGCCCCAGCAGAACGGGGTTGCAGATCAAAGAAATAGGACTCTTATGGAGATGGTTAGGTCGATGATGAGTTATTCAAGGTTACCATATTCATTCTGGGGTATGGCGTTGGAAACGGCATCGTACATTCTGATCATGGTTCCATCAAATTCAGTTGATACTACTCCTTATGAGATGTGGAAAGGGCGCAAGCCCAGTTTCTCACAGTTTCGAGTATGGGGTAGCCCTGCACACATGTTGGTGCAGGAACCTGGCAAATTGGAGAAACATTCAGAAGCACGAGTTTTCGTTGGCTATCCCAAGGGAATGAAAGGTGGATTATTTTATAGTCCCGAGGATCAGAAGGTAATCTTTAGCACGAACGCTAGATTCTTGGAAGAAGACTATATTATGAATCATAAGCCCGCAAGTAGACAAGTTCTAGAGGAGTTAAGGAGTGAAGTCGATGGTTCCCTGATTCGTCGGAAATCGTGCTTATATTAATGGTCTAATGTTGCATTTGTGCACGTTTAATTCCCCGCATTTATGCATCTTTTGACTTATTTGATGTTATGACCAACTCTCGCGCTTTGATGAGTTTTTGAGTAATTTTCAGTATTTTTGGAGCTATTTCCGTTGCATGATGAGGTGTGGATGCTCGGAAGAAGGACAAAGAAGTGTTGTCAGCAAGTACGGGGGCACTCCGTACTGAACCAGCAGGCCCCGTATTCCTATAGCAAGCCCATACACTTCACGTGAGTTGGCATGAAATTTATTACAAGTGGGCTGAAATTATTAAAACCAAAGAGGGCCTGGTGGACTTAGTCAAAGGAATTAAAGAATTGTGATTTTTGGAGGACAAGCATAAGGAATGTGACGTGGCCAGGAGGAAAGTATATATTTTGGAGACTTTTGCTTTTGAGGGGGGATTATTCTTTTTTTTCACACACGTTTTGCGGCTGAGACCTGGCAGAAAGGAACAGAGGCAGAGACGGATCGCTAGAGCAACTTGAACAGAGAAGATTTTATTTTCTTTTCTTCTTCTTTCTTGTGTAATTAAATTCATGATTATGTTATTGAACTATGAGTGAGTAGTTTCTTTATTCTAGTCCCGGGGAAATCGAACCCTATGATTGACTATGTTTTGATTAATTTTTATGGTTGATGAATTCCATATCTTTTTGGAATTGCTTGTGTTATTTTGAATAATTAACCATGATGTGTTAGTCTTGTTTAGATTGATCACCTAGATTAGGCTTTTCATATCTACATCTGAATTAGGCCTGCAATCCGAAATTGTTGTTGTGTTTAATTCATAAGAGGTAACCGGAAGATGGTAACTACCGGGGATAACACGGCCTAATTAAGTGAACGAACGCGGTTGAGTTCACTAATTAGTCTAGCCTATTTTTCTAAATCATAAAGCGGCTAATTGTATTAAATCTTGAAAACGTTTTTCTGGACTGTACAAAAAGTCAGGTTTAATCGTCGAGCGTCTCGCGGTTAAATTAAAAATAAGGAAAAATTCGGGTAACAGACCGTGTCGTTACCTAGGGCTAGTAATTCCAGGAGATAGTGAAATCTGATACTAAAATTAATTAGACGAGTCAATTGAGGGTGTAGACGGAACCGTGGACTAGATACTTCCCCATTTATTTGATAATCATTTTTATTTGCTGCATTTGATTTCATTATATTATTCATATTTCCAGTAGTTAATTAATTTATATCAAAACCCCCCTTTTTATTAGTATTTCCATGATTTCAATTAAAGAGAATAATTACAATTAAATTCCACACTCCCTGTGGGTTCGACCCTTGCTCACTACTACTGCTAGTTGGTAGAAGTCGGTTAAGGAAAATAAATATTATAATTTGACCGTGTTGCGACGCGCGGTCAAATTTTGGCGCCGTTGCCGGGGAGTGGTGTTATTCAATTGAGATTTTTGAGTACTAATTGAGTTCTCTTTTTAGGATTTATTTTTGTCATCTCTTATCCCCCTTTTTCCTTGTTTTATTTCTTTTATTTTCTTGCAGAATACTGGGGTACCCCGTACTCTGCTGGACAGATTAGTTCGCCCCCATACTCTTAGGAGTAACTTGAATTTTGGCGTTTTTGATCGAGCTTGGCGCAACTTTTCGAGATGGCAGCCTATTATCACGACTTTTATACCCACCAGGCACCTTACCAGTATGAGAGGGAGATACGAGGTCCGTGGATTGGAGATCGAGGCGTAAGAGGACCTAGTGGTTGGCGAAGGGACGAACAAGACTACTTCTATTCCGATAAGTATGAATACTACTTGAAAGGGCACTCGAACTCTTTCCATGGATATTCTGAGCCACCAATTGCGCAAGATCCCAGCCCATCGCTCGAGGATATGGTGAAGGCACTAGAGGCTCACACGTTGAGATTTCCGCAAGAACACTCCGAGCCATTAGTTGAGAGAGATCCTGGTCCGTCGCTCGAGGAGATGATGAAGGAGTTGACGGCTAACACTCTTAACTTTCAACAAAGTGTAGAGGCGAGCATCAAGAGCCAAGGACTGCGCATAAGGAATTTACAAGGCCACATGAGCCAATTGGTGGACCAGATGGACCGACTAGTGTATCGGCTGGAAAAGAGTCCAATAAGTTCGAGCATCATCCATTCGTATAGCGAGGACCTCGAGGAACCTGAAGAGGGCACACACGAGCTGGAGAACGAGAAAATCACGAATATCGAGAAGATTGTGAGCAAAAAAGAGAACCAAGCTGCAGAATATGGGGATCAACAGCAGAATACGGGGGTGCCCCATACTCGACCTGCTGTAGCCAAAAAGCATACCGTTCTTCCCGCTTATGTGCCGATAGAAGCTGAACCGTGTCCTATGTATTCTAATATGAAGTGGGTACTGAGTAAGGATGCACTGAAGCATGTCTTGGGCCTTGATATACATTCTCTTGAGACGATCGAGCACGGGTTGCTACACATTCTTGAGGAATTAGCGTCATGGAGGAAAGATCCGGTGAAGCACCCAACACCGAGGATAGGGGATGCCACCAAACATGGCGTGGTGAGACTGATGCATCCCTTGAGGCCACCTCCGAAGCCGCCATGGATCTTTTGATGAAAAGGAGTAATAAGTCGAGCCAACAACAATAAAAAGAGGCACTTGTTGGGAGGCAACCCAATGGTGTGCGTGGTTCGGCGACCTTCTTCGCATTGACTAAGGTGAACTCGTTTCTTTTACCTCCGTTTTTGTTCATTTGAGTTTATTTTAGTGTCTATGATATATGCAAACTCTAAGTTTGGGGAGGTGGTTTCTTGGTGAGCATTCATGGTTTATTATGTGATTATATTTATGCCCATTAGAGTTTTAGTTCTTAGATTAGATTTGCATGATATTTGCTTGTCGTGTGTGAGTATGAGATTGCACGTACATGGAATTTTGCGATGATGACATGAGAGTCAGTTTGGATTTATGGTGCTAGTTTAAATGGCTTGAGTTAATTTCATCTGGTTAAATTCTTGAGGTGTTTTATTTTGGAGACAAAGGCATGATGGTGATATTTTTGTGATTTATTTATGGCGAGTTGGTTTTGAGGCGATTTGTATTGTTGAGATGTGCTTGTGATTGCTTTAATCAATGTTGATTAAGTTTGGGGACTTGAAGTTGAAAGTTGGGGTTTCTATGTCTCATAGTCGAAAAAAAAAAGAATAATCCCCCCTCAAAAGCAAAAGTCTCCAAAATATATACTTTCCTCCTGGCCACGTCACATTCCTTATGCTTGTCCTCCAAAAATCACAATTCTTTAACCGACTCAAATCTATTCACATGGCTCGCAATCTCAAACCGACTCAAATCACAGAGCTTCCTCAATCACCAAATAAACAACCCCATATAAACCCCCAAACCCGAAAGAACCGCTGCTCAAAATCACTCAATATCAGACAAGAATTCACACAGTTGCTTCAATTCGAGGGTTCAAATAAGATATCAACAAAAAGGGATTAAGGAATGTAATGTGGTTATTATTCAAAGAAAAGGCTTTGTGGCTCAAAGGGGCTTACTAATGGAAATAATTCGGTTTAGGTTCATCCAAGGAAATGGTCACAACACAAAGGTTCATCCTAAACACCCTTATCACTTATGTGCATCCATATTCATCAAGAATCAAACATAAACGTGTATAACAAGGCAAGTTGTAGAAAGATCAACCAGTCGTGACATCACACAATCAATAAAAGGAGCAATGTAGTCAGTGTATGCTCATTGGCTCAAGCCTCACGACAAATAGGGACAAATAGTGATAATCCTCGTGCATTCGTCTATTAATGATCATTGAAAACAATCAGCCAATTAATATGCAGCACACAAGGACTCCAAAAATTTTCGGACACAGCAAAATTCTTCAAAAATTGGCATCAGAAAAGAAATAAGCATAATCACAACTAATATTCCAAACGATCTTGACACCATCAGACAAACATCAAATTGACTCTATCCTCAGCAAAACAAACACAACAGACTCATACTAACAGGACTAACAGGAATAATCTCGACATCAATACAGCAAAAGGCAATCAACAGCAACAATATATATATATGCAGCCAAAATCCAACCTCCACCCCACACTTAAAAAAAAAACGTTGTCCTCAACGGCACGACACCAAACATGCACAAAGAAAAGAAAAACAAGAAGGGATAACGGACTTCCCTCGGCAGGGGTAGCAAGCTAATGGTCAGCCTGTCGCCGCCCGTCCAGCAAATCCCGAATAAGATCGCGGAGGTTCTGCTGCTCACTCTCCAGCATCTCAACTCGAGCCCGAGTCGCTGCGTGCTCAACTCGCAACAACTCCAGTTCTTTGCGCAGGTCGGAGTCCGATGGGTCGGGGTTGGACGGGTGTTCGGAGCTCGGCTGCTGCTGCGCGGTTGGGGGTTGCTGTCCTACCGGAGGTCGCTCCGGTCGATTGGGAAAAACGGCGTGCTGCATCTTTACGTTGGCAGCGACGGAAAGATCAATGAACGAGGGGTTCGGCAGGGCTAGTCGCTCCGTAGCCGACACCATCCAGTACCGGATGTCAGCCTCTTTCTTCACGACTCCAATCTGCTCGAGCATAAGCAAATCAAAATGTGCGACACCTCCAATGGTCTGCCTCCCTTGCAAATCGACCCCGAGGTGTTCGGCCAAACATGTGACCAGTCCCCCCACCGCGATGGGATCACGACGCGACTGGACTCGAAACAGCCCGTCGATGATAGCAGGTGTCGTCTGCAGTCGTTTCCCCTTAAGCATGCACCAGAGCAATTGTAGCTCAACCTTTTGAACTAAGTGCCGATTCTCGTACCGACCGGTAATGAGATAGACGATCATCCGCTGCAAGTATCGTAGGGCTGGGTTGCGAATCTCTGCACTTTTAGACGACAATCGGGAGTAGTCCCGAGCGTTGGTAATAGCCAACCACGCTTCTTCGTTATCCATCTCAACCTCTTCGAGCGCATCTTCGGGTAGTCCGAAAGCGGTGGCGAAGTCAACGTCTCGCCACGTATACTCGACACCATCCAGACAGAAACCATACAACCCATCCCCGTCCTCCTTTCTCAAAGAGCGAAAGAATTCGCACGTAAGGTCTGCGTAGACGGACCAGTCTCCCGTCATCAATTTTCTCCAGCCCATCACATCAACGAGACGATAGACCTCGGTGTGTAGCCCGAGCTCGACCAACAATCCATGGTCAATATACGTGGTGGGCTTCAGCTCTCTGGGAATCGGTAGACCGCCGGGCCTGTGACATCCCGCCCGAGCCCGTTTAGGTGTAGGAGCGTGTGCCGATGGTCCCGAGACCTCCGGTGAGGCTCGGGTTCTCTTGACGGGCGTCCCGGATGCTGTCCGGGGCGATACTCGGGTAGGCTCGGTAGCAGTGGTCAGAGGTGGACTCGATTGGACCGGAGGCTGCCTCGGTGCCTTATTCCCCATCGTGGCGGCACGTGTCTGAGGGCTGCCGGCCGAGTGCTTTGTGGATGCGGCTGGTCGAGTAACGGGTGGGGCTGTGCCAACATGAGTTCTCAGCTTGGACGGTTGCTGTGGCCGATTTTGTTGCACTGTGGGCTGTTCGGAGGTGCCAGGTGATAGTCGAGTTCCGATGGTGGCATTCGTCTGTGAAGAGGAAGTGGCCACTCCAGACGACTGCGTCGTCCTCGTAGACCCCTTGACAGTGAGATCAATGAATTTCGGGGCATCTGGATTAGTGTACCACCCCATTCGTCGAGTGTGCCGGCGGTGTTCGAGGGGCACGTGTGGGAGCGGGTGCTTCGGTGGTCGTGAAGGCTGTTGGGCTCGTGACCTAGGTGGGGCCGGTGGGTTAGGCGAAGAGTTGACCGGATTTGAGGCGGAGGGCGGTGGTTCTTGTGTCCCCAATTGAACCGACGGTGGCAACGCAGACTGAGAAGATGCTGGCGGCGGCGACTTGGGCGGCTCCGGTGGTGTCGACGCGGGCTTCGAAACGGAACACACCGGGACAGGCGGCAATGGATGCGCTGCCTTGGGGTCGGCCGACGGCGAAACGGGGTTTAGCGACTGCGACGGAGATGTGGGCGGCGGTTCAGAAGGTTGAGCGGTGACCGGTGGTGGCGCGGGCTTCGGAAACAGTGGCGGGTCAGATGGCGACGGGTCAGCTGTGCTCGAGTCGGCTGACGGCGATGTGAGTTTCGTTACCGGCGGTACGTTCGGTGCGGACGGCGTTGGTGCGGCATCCGACGGCGATGGGGGCGGCGATTCGTCATCAGACCTCGGAGGTTCCTTCAATTTGACAGCCATCCGCTTGATTCGCACCATAGCTTCCGATTTTGTTCACGGATTCTCAACAAAAAGCAAAGGGTTTCTTCG